AGGGAAGGGAAGGGAAGGGAAGGGAAGGGAAACATGAGCTGCACTCAACACCCAAGATCCCAGTGGTTGGAAGGGCGCAGGGGGAAGAATGCGGCTCACATTGCAATTCCCTCGCGGAAAAGTGGGAAAGGGGAAGGATGGAGGAGCTGAGCTCTGGGATAGGACAGCTCCTAAACTAGGAGATAGGCCTGGGATAGGATTGGATAGGATACGGCTGGGAAACATGAGCTGCACTCAACACCCAAGATCCCAGTGGTTGGAAGGACGCAGGGGGAAGAGAGCGGCCCGATTCCCTCTTGGAAAAGTGGGAAAGGAGAAGGATGGAGGAGATGCACTCCGGGATAGCGCAGCTCCTAGGCTAGGAGATAAGCCTGGGATAGGATTGGATTGGATTGGATAGGATAGGGCTGGGAAACATGAGCTGCACTCAACGTCCAAGATCCCAGTGGTTGGAAGGGCGCAGGGGGAAGAGAGCGGCTTCCACCGCGATTCCCTCCTGGAAAAGGGAAAGGATGGAGGAGATGTCCACTGGCATAGGACAGCTCCTAGGCTAGGAGATAGGCCTKGGATAGGATTGGATAGGATAGGGCTGGGAAACATGAGCTGCGCTCAACGTCCAAGATCCCAGTGGTTGGGAGGGCGCAGGGGGAAGARWGCGGCTCACATTGCAATTCCCTCCCGGAAAAGTGGGAAAGGGGAAGGATGGAGGAGCTGAGCTCTGGGATAGGACAGCTCCTAGGCTAGGAGATAGGCCTGGGATAGGCCTGGATTGAATAGGATACAGCTGAGAAACACGAGCTGCACTCAATGCCCAAGATCCCAGTAGCTGGAAGGGCACATGGGGAAGAGAGCGGCTCACACCGCAATTCCCTCCTGGAAAACTGGGAAAGGGGAAGGATGGAGGAGATGCGCTCTGGGATAGCGCAACTCCTAGGCTAGGACACAGGCTTGGGATAGGCTTGGATAGGATAGGGCTGGGAAACGTGAGCTGTGCTCAACGCCACAGTGCCCGAGATCCCAATGGAAAACRGCGCCAGATGGAGCCGCTCCGATGCGCCTTTCCGAAGCGGAATCCCGGGAAGCAGGGCTGGATTTTGCTCGCCTTTCCCTTTAGCATTAGCCCTGCACTGGGAAACGCTCCCTATCCGCCCTCCCATGGGAGAAAATTCCCTGTTTTCTGCGTTGGGAAAAGGAGGGTGGAAAATTCAAACTACCGAGGCCGATTCCTGCCTGGAAGAGGGTCTGAATCCTAAGGAAGGAGGGAGGAGATGGAGGCGGCCCCGGTTTTGTGGCCGGGATCTTAGTGGGGCATGGAGAGGGTTTCCCTCCCCCGGCTTCATTAGCGGGAATGGAAAAGGGGGATGAGGACATGGAATGAGAGTCGCTTTGTCGGACGCTTTGGAAAAGCTTTGGAAAAGCGTCGAGAAGTGGGAAGAGGAGATTTAGAAAAGCTCTGGAAAAGCATCAAGAAGTGGGAAGAGCAGCTGGATATGGGATATCTGGGCACGTCCTCTGGCTAGAGCCGATCCCGGGAGCTGCGGAGGGGTTGGACGCCCTGGCTCCGGCCATCGGAAAAGGTTGGGAAGCAGCAGCGCAAGGCGCTTTCCGGCTCCGGAAAACAGCAAGGAGAAACCTTGTGGGGCTGGAAAATCCCTCATCCCGGGGGATTGGCCTCATTCCGGGGTCGCAAAGTGGCCCGCGTTATTCCCAACAGCCGGACACATTCATCCATGATGGTTTCCATGCTGGGAATGACGTGGGTTTAACCAAAGGGTTTAAGGAACGCTGTAGAGCATCCAGATGGATGTTGGATTCCCGGGAGCATGGATCTGCCGGAGAGACCCGGCAAGGTGGGAGAAGAAAGAAATAAACTCCCTGGAACCAGGGATTTTAAGGAAAAATTACCCACTTGATACCTGGGAATTGGAGAGAGTGAGGCCAAGAGGAAGGAAGGGAGCTGGTGATTCCAAAATTTGCCCAAAATCCCATGAGGAGACCCCATTTTATGGCTTCCGAGGGCAGCAAGAACAGGGGGACCCTACAGTCGTAAGCGACACCCGCACGTGTCAAGCGGAGAGACACGGGGCTCTGGCAACAGTCGGATGGGTGGAAATTTCGGGAGGCAACAAGGCCGGTGGAAACAAAAGATGGAAATTTCGGGAGAAAAAGACACAGGTGGAAATGAATGACTGAAATTTCGGGAGAAAAAGACACAGGTGGAAATGAATGACTGAAATTTCGGGAGAAAATGACATGGGTGGCAACGAAGGGTTGAAATTTAGGAGGAAAAGAATGAAGGTGGAAACAAAGGGTTGAAATTTACAGAGAAAACAACAAAAGTGGAAATGAATGGCTGAAATTTGAGGAGAAAACAACAAAAGTGGAAATGAATGACTGAAATTTGAGGAGAAAACAACGAGAGTGAAAATGAATGACTGAAATTTGAGGAGAAAACAACGTGAGTGGAAATGACTAGTGGAAATTTAAGGAGAAAACAACAAAAGGGAAAATGAATGACTAAAATTTGAGGCGAAAACAACGCGAGTGGAAACGAATGGTGGAAATTTGAGGCGAAAACGACAAAAGTGGAAACGAATGGTGGAAATTTGAGGCRAAAACGACAAAAGTGGAAACGAATGGTGGAAATTTGAGGCGAAAACGACAAAAGTGGAAACGAATGAGTGCGACTCACTTAAATTAAGGGGTCCCTCGTCGTCGGCCTGCGGCCACTGCGCCTTGGGCGAGCTCTGCAGCGGGCTCAGCGGCAGCTTGGCGCTCTTGTCCTCGGGGTTCTTGGGCGCCGGGGAGGCGGCGAGGCCGGGCGGCCCCTTCTTGAGGCCGGGCGAGCCGGGCGGCGCGAGGCCCTTGGCGAAGCCCGGCGGCGACTTGATGGCCTTGTTGAGCGGCGGGCCGTCGGGCGGGCGCTCCTTGGCGAGCGCCAGCAGCGCGGCGGGCCGGGGGGCGCCGGGGTCCTTCGGGGAGGCGGATTTCTTGGCGAGCGGAGGCCCGGCCTCGACCTTGCCTTTGTGCTTGACGAGCTCGTAGAGGAGGTCGATGGGAGCGCCGCTGCTCTCGGACTCGGCGACGCCGAGCTGGCGCAGGTGGGAGCGCGCGTGGCTCGAGAGGCCCTTGCGCGTCTCGAAGCAGGCGCCGCACACCTCGCACGTGGTCAGGTTGGGCGCTGCGGGGCGAGAAAGGAGGAGGGGAGGCGGGGAGGTCAACGGGCTCCGGGCTGCGAGGCGGGGCGAGAAGGAGAGAGAAGGGGGGGGGGAAAAAATCAAGGAGGGAGTTAATGGGTTGTGGGCTGCGAGTTGGGGCGAAAAAAAATAAAATAAAGGAAAAAGGAGGGGAAATATCAAGGTGGGAGGTAATGGGTTCTGGGCTGTGAGTTGGGGGCAAGAGAAAAAAGAGGGGGGAAAAAATCAAGGTGGGAGGCAAAGGGTTCTGGGTTGTGAATTTGGGGCAAAAAAGAGAAAAAGAGAGGGAAATTTGAAGTGGGAGGCAATGGATTCTGGGCTGTGAATTGGGGTGAGAAAAGAGAAAAAGGGGGGAAAATCAAGGTAGGAGACAATGGGTTCTGGGCTGTAATAAAAGAGAGAAAAAGCGGGGGGGAAGAGAGGGCTAAAAGAAGAAGAAGGGGAAAATCAAGGTGGGAGGCAAGGAGTTCTGGGCTGTGAATTGGGGTGAGAAGAGACAGAAAGAGGAGGAAAAATCAAACTGGGAGCCAATGGGTTCTGGGCTGCAAGCTGGGGTGATAAAAAAAAAAGGGGGGGGGGAAGAGGGGGAATATAAAGGTGGGAGGCAATTGGTTCTGGGCTGTGATAAAAGAGAAAAAAAAGGGGCAAAAAACCAAGGTGGGAGGTAACAGGTTCTGGGCTGCGAGTTGGGGCGAGAAAAAGAGAAAAATGAGGGGGAAAAAATCAAAGTGGGAGGCAATGGGTTCTGGGCTGCGAGTTGGGGGGAAAAAAAAAAAAAAAAAAAAAAGGAAAAAATCAAAGTTGGAAGCAACGGGTTCTGGGCAGTAATAAAAGAGAAAAAGAGAGGAAAAAAGAGGGGGATAAAAGAAGAAGAAGAAGGGGGAAAATCAAGGTGGGAGGCAACGAGTTCTGGGCTGTCAACTGGAGTGAGAAAAGAGAAAAAGAGGGGGAAAAATCAAAGTGGGAGTCAATGGGTTTTGGGCTGTGAACTGGGGTGAGAAAAGAGAAAAAAGGGGAAAAACAAAGTAGGAGGCAACGAGTTCTGGGATGTGAATTAGGGTGAGAAAAGAGAAAAAGGGAAAATCAAAGTGGAAGGCAACGGGTTCTGGACTGCAAAAAAATAAAATAAAAAATAAAAAATAAAAAGAGTGAAAAGGGGGAAAAAGGGCAAGAAGGCAACGGGTTCCAGGCTGAAAAAAGGAGAAAACCACCACAGTGGCGGTCTGAAGGATTTAGTGACTCCCATTTATTTATCCAGGGATAAATTGGGAAAAAGGGAATCAGTTGAGGACGGAGAGCAGCAATTTCAGCCCTCCTTGACCCCCCAGGGCTCTTTAGGGAACCTGGTTCAATCCCAAGGCAGGAGGGAGAGATTGGAAAGGGGCTGAGGAGGAAGAAAAGCTCCCATGGGATGCAGGAAATTTGGAAAAAGCCGCCAGGAAAAGCGACAAGCAGCTTCAAACCGGGAGCGCGACCTCGGAAAAGCCTCTTCCCAAGGGGGAATGTGCCGYGCAGACCCTTCTGGAGGAGGTTTCCACAGCGGACGCGGCTTTTCCAGGCTGGGTTTTCCGGGGATTGCTGCTCACCCTTGGGATCGGGAGGCTCCGGCTTGCTCCCGGGCGGCTCCGGGGACAGCTTGCTCCCTATCCTGCTCGGGGGCTGCTCCAGCGGCGCGGCCGGGCCGCTCTTCTTGGGCAGCGGCGGCGAGGCCACCTCCATGGCCACCAGCTCCTCCTCTTCCTCGGGCGCCAGCACTGCCAGGGCGGGAAGGAGACGACGGAATCACGGAGGGAACGAGGGAATCGCGGAGGGGACGAGGGAATCATGCAAGTGACACCAGGGAATCCCCGAGGGGGGATGGCGCCCTCAGATGTTTCCATTC